TTTTGGAAAAAAAAAAAAAGAATTCGTTTCGATGAGTTTTAATCGCTTTTGTAGGTGCAGTTGCTATAGGTCGTCATTTTTTATTTATATGAAAATGTCTAAACAATCATGAGTTCTTTGCTAGGAAAAAAACAATAAAGAAATAAATAAATTGAAAATAAACTTTCTATTATCAATTACTAATGTACTGTTCTCATGTGTTATTATTATTATTATTATTATTATTATTATTATTATTATTATTATTATTATTATTATTATTATTATTATTATTATTATTATTATTAGACCCGTTGTATGACAATGTAGCCTAGTGGACTTTATGAGTTACAATCCTGGGCTTATGTAGAAAAGTTAAGAGAGTGGGTCAGACAATTTTGGACTATTAGTTGGCATTTGGGCTAAATTAAGTATGGCCCTGAAAAGTTATCAACATTCTCTACTTTTTTTTTAAAAAAAAAAAAAAAAATAGCAAAACGATAGAGATAACTCTTTTACATATTTACTAGTATTACAACGCCCGTGTATTACATGGGTGTGTGCTGGATTTTTGCTGCTAATATATGTAGTTATAATTTTCAAATAAATACTTAGGAAGAAAAGGCAAAATTTGAGAACTTGCGAGACATAATAAAAACAATTTTAAGTTTTTTTAATAGTCTATATAAAACGAATTCGAATATTATCCCTATGTTCTCTTCTATAATAAATTTATTGAAATGATAATCGAGGATGAGACTATTGCTGATCAAATAGGACAATGTAATTTGTTGCTTGTGCAGATACAACCATTTGATTTCATATTATGGCAGGAGAAGGGCAACTGCTTTGAAAGCTGGGCTTGTCTTGTAATGAGACAAATTTTGCACTAACTAATGAGTTACGAGTAGAATTATAAAAGGATGATCAAGATATTTTCAATGTTATGGATTTGGTCATGACAAGTAAGACCTTGCTAGTTTATAAAAACTAGAAAAAAATCATTTTTATTTTTTGTTTAATTAGAGCTTATTTGAAAACATTAATATGATTAGTTGTGTGTGGAAATTTAAAAATTTATTAAAATAATATTTGAAAAGAATAATTAAATTGATTGATGTAAAAGTAGGAGATATATGATTGGAAAATGATAGGTAGTTAAAATTGTGTGAGTAGATTAATAGTGAATTAATTTAATGTATAACAATAATTAAATGATATTATTTAGTTATATTAATAATATTGAAGATGATGAGGTTGAGTTAAATTCGAGTTAGATTTAGAATTGAGATATAATTTTTTTCCTAATTTTTTTCTAGAAATTTGATAAACAATCACGACTGAAACAACTCCAAGAAATGAGAGAAGAAGAATGTGAATGGAAAAATTTCTTGCACAAGGTAAATTCGTATGTAATAAGTACGGTATAAAAATTTTCGCCCTGGCTGATAAAATTTTTTGCATCCGCCGCTGTGCGCGACTTACCTGTGTTACACTATAATATTTTTTTTTTAACTTACAACAAATAACTACATTAAAAATAAATATATCAATTGAGAAATAATTTTATTTTTCTAATGAATTTTAATAAATATTATTATTTTTTATTATTATAAAGATAAATATAATTTATTTATTTCATATATACATTATGAATGTCAATTCGAAGATCATCAAAAGATGATTAATTTGATATATTATATATGTAAAACCGATAAGAATTACAAAAGTTATCAACTTTTAAAATACATTTACAATTCAATAGCTAATTGGAGGAAGCAAATCAAAAGTCAGAGATCTATTAGCCACTTAGTGCCTCAATATGTAAAATTACAAAGAATTAAAGAGTTATACTAGTACAATTGATATTAAAATATCTAAGTTAGCTAAATAATATTTTTGGAAATGTCCGAACTTAGATTATTATTTATTAATATATCAATATTATTTGTCCAAACCTAATTACGAAGCATGATTTTTCACCAAGTAGGATTCCGAAGTACCATAAGCAGCCACGTAGGCTCAGCGTGTTTGGAAACGAGACATATAAAGCCAATTAAATTGGATAAAATTAAATTCAAATGGTTCTAAGCTTTAAAATTATGACTTTGTCAACTGGGTGCCTCCCAAAGACATCAAAAAAAACGGGTCCATGCCAAAAAAGACCCCAATTAAGACTAGTTGAAAGTTGACTTTAGTTTCCTATCATAATAGGTGCTTCCTATATTATATATCAAGTCTATTTTTATTTTTTTTGTACAGGGACTTTCTGGTTTTCAGATCCACATAAGAATCGACTAATCCGAAATCGAGCCGAGTAAGACCACAACTGAGTTGGATAAATTTTTGGAAAAATGGGTCCAAAAATCTCGCGTTCCTCTTCTGTCTTGTGTTACACGGTACATAATTTCTATTACATTTGGCTATCATGTTATTTTAATACACTCACAAAAATAATTGTTACAAAAAAAATTCAATTTGACTCGTGAAAGCTTGAGATATACTATTTCGTTTATTCAAACGGACTGAATATCGAACAACTAATCAAGCTCGCCTATCAAACTAGTAGAGCCGAGAGCAACCGATTTTTATCTACGAACATTTTTTTTTTTTATTTTTTTTTTTATTTTTTTTTAATGGATTCTTAAATGAAATAAGCTTCTTTAGCAAAGGAGAGAGATCATTATATTCCGTCCCTCATCAGACAAATGTTGTTAGAACCAATCATTTGTCTCTGAAATTCGTGACTTCTTTTTCTGACCTCATTGATTTCATGTTGCTACTGTTTTTTATTTTATTTTATTTATTTGATTAGAAATGTAACAATTAACAGTAAATATTCCATAACATAAACGTCAGCCGAAAACATATAGGTACCTAACGGGATAACGTATGATAAACGACACCAATATTAGTTATCATATCCGTCATCCGAAGTAAACGACCCCTAACGGGATAAAGGTACCTGTGTTGGGGGTTAATCTCGACTGTTCGAAAAATATATACATATAATATTACGGTCCATAATTTTTTTATTTTTTTTAATAAAAGGTTAAGTAGTACTAGTATTAGTCACGCTGTTTTTCAGAGAATAATCAATTTCAAAGAATGTCATAATAGGAACATTGAGGATGTATTTAATCAACATATATACATGGCCATAATTCCAATGTCTTGCCAATTTGTCAAAAAAGTCTAAGAGGAAGATAGGTGAAAAAGTTGTGTTCTTGCTCCCATGATTCCAATACATATTGCTATTAGATGGATTTAATAATAAGTAGCAATTATATATGGTTTTTTCAATAAAAATCAGTGTTCTAGAAGTTATTAGTCGAGCACAAGGAACTCGACCAGCGCTTAGAGTGACTAGGTATGACCTAGAAATTAAGATTAAGTACCGTATTTTTTTTTCATTACCTACAAAGTAAAATTATCCTTATGCTCAATCAATACACTTAAGTCCAAATAATAATGTTAATATATTATATAAAAAATATGATAATTAAATAATGTAATTAGTATTTAAAAAAAGTTGAAAAATTGTTGTTGAGCCGCCTGGTCGCCTAGCGCCGCTTGAAAGATTTTTTTCAGCCGATTTATGCAAATTGGAGGCGGCCGAGCAGGAAGTAGACGCCGCCTAGGCAGATTTTTAGTACAGTGATAAAAATGTAAGCTCAAAACACATAAAAACTTTTCAAAAGTTTCAAATTTTATATCACATTTTAGATCCTGCTATTATTTTATTTTGGTGTTTTTGCTTGAACTGTACAATATAAAAGTCTAGTATACGCTGTCTCTAATATATGAGATAGTCAAATTTTAAAATAATATAAATAAAAATATAAAATCTTATATTATACATGAGCAAATTTCTTACATAAAAAAAAAAATAAATAAATAAAAAATGTGTTGGATGTACCCACCTATTATCAATATTTTAATAAATAATTGTGTGTATATGGGGTGTGTTGGTCACATAATTTGTGGGTGCAGTTGGATGTGGGGACACACATTTTCTTATTTTGAAAATTAATAAGGGTTGGCTTTGTTGGTGTATTTACTAAACTTTGTCCCCCCCAAAACTTTATAATTATTTAATTTAATAGAAAAAAATTGATATAAACCACTCATGGAATAAATTAATAATAAAATTAAAATGTGAGTGCATAATAATAAAATCTTTTTGCAGGCTACAAACATTTGACTTCCTGTGCAGAAAATCTCCTCTGATTATGAAATTTCTGCCTCCATTTTCACACCTCTTTATTTATATATTTATTTATTTATTTATATTTCATTTCATTGCTCTGCCTAAATTATATTGTCTCAAAAAACTCAATTTAATCTTCCCAGCTGATCATCATCTGATAACATGATCAAGAAAGCATGTCTATGGCCCGGCCCATTTGCCCTGATCGCGATCCTACCCGTTTTCCTACTCACCAACCGGATACGGGCCGACCCGAGAACCCAAACCGTTCTCTTCACGTGCGGGACCCAACCGGAGGACAACCAGACCGCCTTCGTTCCCAATTTCGTGGCCGCCATGGAAAACATAAGCACCCAAGTCCGGGCCTCGGGCTTCGGTACGGCCTCAGTGGGTTCCGGGCCCAATACGAATTACGGGCTGGCCCAATGCTACGGGGACCTCTCGCTAGTGGACTGCGTTCTCTGCTACGCCGCGGCCCGTACTCTCCTCCCCCAGTGCTACCCAGGCAACGGTGGCCGCGTCTACCTCGACGGCTGCTTCATGAGATCCGAAAACTACACTTTTTTCGAGGAGTGGGCCGGGCCCGGAGACCGGGCCGTTTGTGGGAACGTGACCCGGATGGGCACGGGTTTTCGGGACTCGGCCCGGCGGGCCGTGGAGCAAGCGGGTTCGACTGCGCCGGGTAATAACGGGTTCGCGCGGGCCCGTGTGGGAGTACCCGGATTTAGGAATTTGTCGGTTTACGTTCTGGCCAATTGCTGGAGGACGATAGGGGAGCAGGCCTGCCGGGCCTGTTTGGCGAACGCGACTGAATCGGTTTTGGGCTGTTTGCCGTCGACTGAGGGCCGAGCCCTTAAAACAGGCTGTTTCGTGAGGTATTCGGATACGGATTTTCTTAATCCCGTGGCCGTGATTGGGAGCTCGAGAGGTATGGAGTGAATTCGAATCGTTGGTTTTTCTCGAGGCAATACAATTTGTCCTGATTAAAAACCATAGTAATTTTAGTCTCAAGGTTCTAACATTTCGCATTGTAATCATGTGATTTAATTGTTGTAAATTCATAAATTTGAAGACAAAAATTGCAATAAATTCCAAAATTCTTAAATTTTTTATTAGCAATTTAAGTTGTCTATGTAATTTAAAATTGTGTTCATGTAATTTAAGATTTTGCAGCAATTTCAGTTCTCAAAAGGCAAAAGAGATGGAATCTTGAGACTAAAATGCTATGACGTTAAACCAACATGACTAAAAATACATTTTTGTCGTTTCTTGATTTTCGAACGGTTTTTCAAGTCTTGTGTGTGTGCTTTTGCAGGAAGGATTATAGCTATTGTGGTGGCATCTGTTAGTGCAGTAGCTGTTTTGATAACTGGAGCTTATATTGGAGTTTACATTTGGAAGAACAAAGTGATTGAGAAGAAGAGAAAAGGTAAAAGAAGAGTGAAAGTAAATTTAGTACACTATTACTCTCCATTTATTGTGAATTCTTGTGTAAAATGTAAATGGATAAAAAACTGTAAATGTTGGTTCAGGTGATGCACATAAACTGGTGAAAACTCTTCATGACAGCAGCTTAAACTTCAAATATTCGACCCTCGAAAAAGCAACCGGTTCTTTCGACCCAGCAAACAAGCTCGGGCAGGGCGGGTTCGGGACAGTCTATAAGGTCACAAACCGATAAAAAAAAAAACCGCAAAACTGACAAACGAAAAAAATAAAAATCATTTAATAATTCATGCATGTTAAAATCTTGTGCAGGGAGTTTTACCGGACGGGAGAGAAATTGCCGTCAAGAGGCTCTTCTTCAACAACAGGCACCGAGCGGCTGATTTCTACAATGAAGTCAACATTATAAGTAGCGTGGAGCACAAAAACTTAGTCCGGCTGTTAGGGTGCAGCTGCTCGGGACCCGAAAGCCTTCTCGTTTACGAATTCTTATCGAACCAAAGCCTCGACCGTTATATTTTCGGTAATAATATGTTTGATAAACCTTATAGCTGATAAGTTAACTTATAGTTTTAAGTGAATTTCGAGCTTATAAATGATAGCTTATGACTTATGGCTGAAAAGCTAACTTATATGATAAAAGTGTTTTGGTAAAATTATATCTGATAAGTTAGCTGAAATAAAATTTTCAATAGGCTTATTTTTAAAGCTATCAAAGAAAGCTTATGAGATAAGCTCGAGTTTTTTAAAAAAGCTCGTTCTACCTAACCAAACTTATTTGAATATAAAAAACTTATAAGCTAGTTTATATGCTTAGCAAACAAAGCCCAAACACAAGCTTCAGCTTTTTACCTTTTCTTGATTGATTTTGGTGTTACAATGGTTTTTGACAGATCCAATCAAAGGTAAGACATTAAACTGGGAGAAAAGGTTCGATATAATTATAGGCACGGCCGAGGGCTTGGTTTACCTTCACGAAAACACGAATGTAAGAATTATACATAGAGACATTAAGGCAAGCAATATCCTCTTGGACTCGAGATTAAGAGCGAAAATCGCAGATTTTGGGTTGGCCAGGTCTTTTCAAGGAGATAAGAGCCACATAAGCACAGCCATAGCAGGAACATTGTGAGTTTTTTTCTTCGAAAATCTACATTTAAAAAAAAAATAAAAAATTTACTCAATATAACTAATTTGCAGGGGATATATGGCCCCGGAATACCTAGCACACGGTCAGCTAACAGAAAAGGCCGATGTCTACAGCTTCGGTGTTCTTCTATTCGAAATCGTCACAGGTCGGATGAATAACCGAAGCAAAAACTCAGAGTACTCGGACAGCCTTATATCCATAGTACGTCCCTAGAAAAATCCCATTTTACCCTCCATTTGCTCGATACACACATTATTATACTTATGTTAAAATACATTTGTCTGAATCAGGTGTGGATTCATTTTCAAGAAAACTTGGTCGAAAAGCTACTCGACCCGAACCTAATGCAGCACAATTACAACAACATTAATATAAAAAGGGAAATGTTGCGTGTGATCCACGTGGGGCTCTTGTGCACGCAAGAAATCCCTTCTTTGAGGCCATCAATGTCGAAGGTTTTACTAATGCTGGTGGATAAAGAGGAATTACCCCCACCGAGTAATCCTCCTTTCATGGATGAGAAAACCATGGAACTAAACGACTCGAGTGGAAATACATTACTACCCCTTGACTGCAGCAATGGAGACTCGGTTGCTAATATGTCACATAGTAGCATTTACTATCCCAGGTGAAGTAGATTTTTTTTTTTCGGAATACAGATTTTGTAGAGAAGAATATGTAAAGCTATACACACATATATATATTGTGCTGTGAATTGTGATTGATGCAAACAGGATAAGTATATCCAAAATTATGAGTGAAGTTTTTATTTTTTTAATCATTTCTTGAAGAAAATATATTGAGAATTTTATAGTGCAACAGACAGTAGGC